ATGATATTATGATTATTTTTCAAATGTATGAACATTAAAAAGAGAAAAATAAAATTTAATAAATACGAAATAAAAGTTTTACGGAATGTGAAATAATGCCACCAAAATTTTTACTTTGTCACTACGAGTCATCTCTATGCAGAAAAAAGGTTAATCTGAGTGTCAAGGCTAGAGTTCATAGGAGGCCGTGGCCAGCGAGCTTTAAAATTATCGTCGTTACTCTTTTGAAGAGTTAAACTTGAATCCTCAATTATTTTTTCTTTTTTTTTCTTTAAAACATTGAATCTCTTGTTTTTATGAAACCGTATGATTTATGTAATTCTTAAAATATGAGAAGTAGGTTCAGTATAATTTTGGTGGAATATTTTATTATTAGAGATTGAAGCTAGAGTTAAGAATTAAAAAATAGGATTAAATTATATATATATATTATAAAACATGAGAAGTTGGTCAAGTATAGGTTCATTAAAATAATAAGTTACTAAATTTTATGAAGTATTTAAAAAAATTTTAAGTTGAAATATTAATATGCTATTTTACAAACCATCCCTTTTAGTTTTCGTGTAGAGAAATACTTTCTAGCCTTTTCTTTTTTTAATTTCTCCGCTTTTTCTTTTTAGTCTTTTTAAGTAAAATATGACAACTTAAGATCCATTTTCCACTCTTTTTTTATGAAAGATTCATTATCTAATTTCTTAGAAATGCAAATCATTTTGGTATTTATTTTTCCAACCTAATTAAAGACATTTGTAACAAAATTGATGGAATTTTAACTTATCTGAATGGTTTTTTTTTTACATTCTTTAGCCTATTTGATCAGGTGGGTACCCTATAATCAATGGTCTCCACGATTGGGGCAAATCTTATAATAAACTCTTGAAAGTATGGGGATAAGGCTGAGTACCTTATCTTGAGGACACTGTGAATGTGGCCCACTTTTGTATATGACATAAACAATGTGATCACTAAATTGTACATGTGGAAACATGTGAGTGGGGGTGTCCTATGCAATGAGTATTGCATAAGATCGGACCATGAAGAAAATCACTCTCACTTTATAATGTCGTTCACTGTTGAGACTGATTTTCTTTTTATTCGATAACCTAGGTAACTCGATTTTAATCCAGAGCTAACAATGAACTTCTGTTTATTCGAAATTATCCTTAGATTTGCATGGGTGAGAGTGGCTCGAGTTCACCGACTCAATAGGCCTCCCATTTCAGGGGTAAGACTGGGTGAATGGCTGGGGACATGGGGTGCAAGATGGAATTCACTCCTACCCACTTTTAGGGATAGAAGAGAGGTAGTTCCCTTAAGCACTGACTCCAGGTCTTGAACAAGGGGCCCCACCCTCTCATTGGCCTGAGAGGGATTCGGTTTATTGGTTGGACCACAAACCAATTGTTCATTAGAGGATCAGTGAGACATAAGGAACAAGAAGTAACTTCAGAGGTAAAACAGTAAATTAATCCAGCTCTAGTTACGAACAACCTGTGAAGGATCGACTTACTAATCATGGTTATATTAAATGGACAGAAATATATCTATAGTGAGGGGAGTGCAACTACTAGGCTATAGTGGAGTGTTCTAGTAGTTAACGAATGTTGGTTAACAAGGTTAATGAGTTTAACTAGTTAATCTTGGATTGTTGGAACCCATGATCTATAGGTCCATTAGGTCCCTCTGCTAGCTCATATCGGACTAAACCATAGAACAGTGTGAAGAGTGAGTTCGAAGTGTTCAAATTCAAATAAGGGAATATGCACTACATATATACGATATATTTAACCACATTTTTGTTTTATTTACTAATTAAGCAAAAAGAGAGAATCTAAGATATTTAAATCTATTTAAATAAGATTTAAATATCTTAATCAAATATGTGTCGGAATTGATTGGGATTGGCATTTGAATTAATATTAAATATTAATTAAATAGTTTAATTAATCATTTAATATTACTTTAATTTGAAATTAATTATTCAAAATGATTGTTAAATTAAAATGAAGAAAGTCAAAATGTTGACTTCATTTGATGGATAAATCCATGTTAGTAGAATTTTGAGGTGTTAAAATTTGGTTTAACCAAACTTGCATGCTTGCCAAATAAACCCCACAAATTTTAGTGGAATTTTGAGTGTCAAAATTTGGTGAACTCAAACTTGCATGCTTGACACATAATCTCAAACATTTGAGTGAAATTTTGAGTGTCAAAATTTGGTGATCTCAAATTTACATCAACATGCAAACATGACTCTATAAATAGAGTGATCATGGTATATGGAAGGTCTTTGTAAGGATTCGAATTTTTGTTTTATTTATTTTAAATTTTATGCTAAGATTTTACTTTTGCTGCCAAAAATGAAAAGATATTTGCTAGCACTTATTCTCGTTACAAAAGGTGCGATTTCTAACAAGGAAGTTACTACCTTAATGGAAAAGTCATAAAGACCTTTTATATTCTCATATTCAACTCTTCTCCTTCCTTGGAAATAACTTTTTCTCTCCAAACATTTAGGGTTTTCGAGGGTGTCTGAGAGTACGGGAAAAATTGAGAGGGTTAGCCAGGAAAAAACGTGTAGGTGGTCCGCTGGTTTTTCGAGGAGTTCTCGAAATCGAGTAGCGTTGTTGGTTCGGAGAAAGAATCGGGTGGAAGTAAGCATCAACGTTGGGACCGCCGCATTGAAGAAGGTAGACCATCGGAACCAAAGGAGGACGACGCCACGTCACCGTCATCGGAAGTGGGTAGACTGTGTCATCATCGACAGCGGCGCACCTTTGTTTAGGGTTATCAAGGTCTTCCAGGTAAGGAAGACGAAAGGTTCGGGTCGGGCTACTTAAGTCTCTAGCCTAGTCCATAGACGAACACGGGCCACGCTCATTCCGGCCCAATACGAGCCCAGCAAACGCATGCATTGCTTCGCACGTGTATATCGTGGTAGCTCAGCTCGGGTTGACATGTACGGTGGCTCGGCTCCGTCAAAACCAGCGGCTTGGCTCCGTCAAATCTCGCGGCTTGGCTTGGCGGCTTAGTTGGTCGGCTCGGCAGCTCGGCTTGGTGACTCGGTATCACTATAGTATATCAATTCCAAGGTTTTTCGACCCATCCAAAGCTGTTTCTTCCCTTAGTTTTACCATCCGAGGTCAGTATGGCTCTTAAACATTAAAGACAGCTTAGGTCGGGGGTTTATTTTGATAAATAGCATGAAGTTTAGCTAGGGTACCTTATGAAAGGTTATAAATTCTTATGTGGTTATCATAGGGCGTATTTAACCGCTAGGACTAGCTCGTTGAGAGTGACTTCAACCAAGACCATCGAGATAAGTGACCTTACTGTTGGAGTTAGCTTACAACGTGTTGTATGATGGTGTGTGCCCTGTGGCCCCTACATGCACCATATTTATGTGATATGATTATGTGATGTATAGATTGTGTTGACTGTAGATTGTGTATGTTATGTGATGTCTGAATTATGTTGACTGTTTATGTTGTGAAGTTATGAATGAGATGTTAGAATTATATGCCATGAATAGGTTGATCGATGCCATAGATACACGTAGAATTATCGAGTCATGTCATGAGATGTTTATGCAACTAGAATGTACTCTCATGCTATGTAATATGCCAAGTAATGTAGGTCATGTGAGATGCCATGTAATGTAAGAAACGTATATGCGATGTTAGCACTGCTTATGTAATGCCATGTTAGATATGTTAAGGGACCTCATGCATATATGTATGTCACGTGCATCGGGATTCTTCCCCTTTATGATACAAAAGGAGGAATTACGATATTTATGTTCGCCATGATATCATGCGGGCCCTTTTCTATTCTGTGGTGTCCGGCGACGTGTAATACGTTATACCTGACAGAGCTAGGCCCAGGGGGTACGTATATGAGCCCGCGTGGTGAGTCCATGTACACGTACATGGGCCATGTGTGAAGGAGTACCACACATCCAACCCTACCCAGAATAGAAAAGCGCCCAAGGCTATGAAAAATTTATGAAAAGTTAGGTCCCGCTCATATGTTGCATGTGTTTGCATTCCTAACCCCAACAGTGGGGTGACTTACTGAGTATCTCATAAAATACTCAAGCCACGTGCTACCTACATTTTTTAGGTAAAGGCAAGGCGCCAATGTACGGTTGACGGCGGAGCTGAGGACACCATGGAAGATGGAGATGGGATATTTCTAGGAGTTTACTTTTATTGGGCTATTTTAAGTTATAGTATTGAGTTTTGTTTAATTTGGGTTTATTTTGAATTCAGTTATTGAACGTTTATTTTTGGAGATAGGTTTTGTTTTGGATTTATGAACCTTTATGAAAGACTCTTCCAAGGTTATTTATGATGAGCTTCCGCGTAATGAGTTATATATGCATGGGTGACATCACTAATTAGGTTAAAGAAAATTAGGGGCCTTACATTTGGTATTAGAGCCCTAGGTCATAGATCTTGTAGACTGGCTTATGTTGTAGGCCTAACGTACTTCCATGGTCCTCCAGCAAACGCGCCGTCACCGTCAGGTATGCCTTTTTTTAAAAAGTTAAGCTTTTTAGTTAAATGATGTATGTAGTAGTGAATGTGTGTTTTGTGGTGAATGATATGATATACATGTTTTATATGTTGACATGAGTTATGATATGTCATTACTGTCGGATGGTTATGATAATGCTATAGTTGTATGTATGCGTGACTTACATGACTACGAATGTTAGAATAGAATGTATTAGATAAGTGTGTGACGTAGTGGTTACGTGCACTGTTTAGATGCCACCTAGAACTCGAGGAGGAGGTCTTAGGGGACGACCCCCACTTAGGGGTAGAGGAAGAGGAAGGGGACGGAATGGGAGACGGGAGGATTCTGTAGAGCAGCCTATTCCACCACCAGCGGCACCTTAGGCTGCACCGGATCCTACAACTGCCCTAGTAAACTCATTACAAACTGTGATTCAAAATCTGACTGCCAACTAGCAAGCGAATACTTCTACATCAACTATGGAGGCTAGGTACCTGCGGAATTTCAAGAGGGGTGACCCTCGAACTTTTAAGGGGGCATCTGAAGATCCAACGGTGGCACAGATGTGGTTGAGGTCCATTGAGTCAGTATTTGTGTTGACCAATTGCCCGGAGGCCCATAGGGTAGAGTGTGCTACGTTTATGCTGCGTGATGATGCAGAATTGTGGTGGCAGGCCACCCGCGACCTTATTAGACCTGAGGGTGCTACAGTCTCGTGGGTGGAGTTCAAGGATGCCTTCTCTGAAGAATATTACCCAGAGGATGTCCAACTGCGAAAGCAGCAGGAGTTTACCCAATTGAGTCAGAGAGGGCGTACTGTTACTACCTATGCCAGGGAATTTTCTAAGCTGATGCGTTTTGCCCCAGAATTAGTGAACACAGACTACAAGACAGCCCGACGATTTGTACTGGGGTTAGATACGAAGATTCATAACACTGTCGAGGCGTTTGCGCCTACCACTTACGCTGCCGCCCTGAGAGCAGCTAAGGCTATGGAAGGATCTGATAGTTCGCGTGAACCCCCTTTATCACCAGTGGGACAGAAGCTACGCCGCGACCAAGCTGACCGAAATGAATTGTCGTTTCCACAAACACAGAGACGATCCGATTGACAGCGCCAGGATTATAGGCGTGTATAGCAGGGCAGTGAGAACCGGTCAGAGAGTAGGCCCAAGTGTAAGGATTGCGGTAAGAATCATTGAGGCCAGTGTTTGGCTTGATCTGGAGCCTATTTTCGATGTGGAAAGGAAGAGCATTTGGCTAAGGACTGTCCTGGAAGTCGTACTACTGATGTTGGAAATCAACAGAAACCATTACGCATCGCGAACAACCCCCCTCAGAACCGTCCGCCAACAAGAGCTTATGCCTCTACCAGCAAGGATACTGGAAACTCGGATGCAGCGGTGACAGGTACACTATCTGTTCTTGGGCACCTTGTTCTGACATTGTTTGACTCAGGATCTACGCATTCCTTTATTTCTACTGTTTTTGTTAGTCAATCTAAGTTTGTATTAGAGCCTTTATTGCATGGATTTTCTGTAGGCACCTCGGCAGGGGTGAATATGATTGCTGCTTATAGAGTAAAAGATAGTCATGTATTAGTATCAGAAGTTAAAATAGAAGTAGACTTGATAGTACTTGATATGCATGTGTATGATGTAATTTTGGGAATGGATTGGTTAGCGAAAAATCATGCTAGCATAGATTGTCACAAGAAAGAAGTGGTGTTCACACCACCGTCCAAGACCAGATTCAAATTCAAGGGCATGAGTCTGGGTACCGTTCCAAAGGTTATATCAGTGTTGAAAGCAAAGAAGTTGGTCCAGCACGGAGCATGGGCTATACTAGCCAGCGTTGTGGATACTAGGAAAGAGGAGGTTTTCCCAAACACCTTGCAAGTGGTGAGTGAGATTCCAGACGTATTCCCAGAGGACTTACCGGGAATTCCTCCGACACGAGAGGTAGATTTTGCAATAGAGCTGGAACTAGGTACCGGTCCAATATCTAAGGCCCCGTATCGTATGGCACCAGCTGAGCTGAAAGAACTTAAGACGCAACTACAAGAGCTGTTGGATAAGGGATTTATTAGACCTAGCGTTTCTCCTTAGGGTGCGCCAGTGCTATTTCTCAAGAAAAAAGATAGATCAATGCGCCTGTGTATTGATTACAGAGAACTAAATAAGAGAACAGTGAAGAACAAGTATCCCCTTCCACGGATCGAGGACTTATTTGATCAGCTTAGGGAGGCAACAGTGTTTTCAAAGATCGATCTTCGATCTGGTTACCATCAGATCAAGATTAAAAATGAGGACATGCCAAAAACAGCTTTCTGGACGAGGTATGGTCATTATGAATATGTGGTTATGTCATTTGGACTTACTAATGCCTCTGCGGTGTTTATGGAACTGATGAATCGCGTGTTCAAGGAATGTTTGGATACTTTTGTCATAGTGTTCATAGACGATATCTTTGTGTACTCAAAGACGGATCACGAACATCAGTTACATCTAAGAATGGCCCTGACAATACTAAGAGAAAATAAACTATATGCCAAGTTCTCGAAGTGTGAATTCTGGTTACGAGAAGTCGCTTTCCTAGGGCACGTGATATCTGAGAAGGGTGTGTCAGTAAATCCTACCGAGGTGGAATCGGTCACTAAATGGAATCGTCCTATTACTTACTGAAGTACGAAGCTTTCTAGGCTTAGCGAGTTATTACCGACGCTTCATAAAGGATTTTTCCAAGATAGTTGCACCTCTTACGCAATTAACCCGAAAGACTGTAGCGTTTGTAGGATCCGAGGAGTGTGAAACAAGTTACCAAGAGCTGAAGGATAAGCTGGTGACCGCGCCAGTGCTTACAATGCCAGACGGTACAGGAAACTATGTTATTTACAGCGATGCTTCAAAGAAGGGTTTGGGATGTGTGTGATGCAACAAGGGAAGATGATTGCTTACGCATCTAGACAGTTGAAGGACTATGAAAAGAATTACCCCACACATGATTTAAAACTGGCAGCGATGGTTTTCGCATTAAAGGTATGACGACACTACCTTTATGGAGAGAAGACTCTAATTTACACTGACCACAAAAGTTTGAAGTATTTCTTTACTCAAAAGGAGTTGAATATGAGACAGCGGAGGTGGTTGGAGCTAGTCAAAGATTATGACATTGATATTCAGTATCACCCCGGGAAGGCCAATGTGGTTGCAGATGCCCTAAGCAGGAAGACAGCTCATTCATCAGCATTAATTACAAGTGAACCCAGGGTACAGGCAGATTTTGAGCAAGCTGGAATAATGGTGGCAGTGGAAGGTATTAAGGCACACCTAGCTCAACTGACTATACAACCCACCCTCCGTCAGAGAATTGTTGATGCTCAGGTAAGAGACTCTGAATTGGAAAAGATACTTAACGGGATGGAGGCAGAGCCAGCTGAGGGATACACCAAGGCATCTGATGGAGGACTACTGTATCAAGGTCGGTTGTGTGTGCCAATGGTAGAAGAGCTAAGGAATGAAATATTAAAGGAGGCACATAACTCCCCGTTCGCCATGCATCCGGGAGGTACCAAGATGTATCAAGATATAAAGCCACACTTTTGGTGGTGTGGAATGAAGAAGGATATTACAGAGTTCATGAGTAGATGTTTTGTTTGCCAACAGGTCAAGACACCTAGACAGAGACCAGTAGGATTATTACAGCCTCTCAGTGTACCGGAATGGAAATAGGAGAACATTGCCATGGATTTTATAGTGGGATTACCAATAACATTGAAGGGTTACACGGTCATATGGGTAATCGTGGAGAGGTTAACAAAGTCAGCGCATTTTCTCCCTGGTAAAGCCACCTACACAGTGGACAATTGGGCACAGTTATATATGAAGGAAATCGTCAGATTGCATAGAGTTCCAGTGTCAATTGTATCAGATCGAGACCCACGTTTTACTTCAGCGTTTTGGCACAGACTCTAGAAATTGTTAGGTACTCGCCTGGAATTCAGTACAGCGTTCCATCCACAGACAGATGGATAGACAGAACGTTTAAATCAAATTTTAGAGGATATGCTACGTGCCTGTGTACTTGACTTCGTTGGTAGTTGGGACTCGAAGCTGCATCTCATGGAGTTTGCCTATAACAATAGTTATCAGACGACAATTGGCATGGCACCATATGAAGCATTATATGGAAAACAGTGTAGGACACCATTATGCTGGGATGAGGTAGGGGAACGTGAGTTGGTGGGTCCCGAATTAGTACAAGTCACGAATCAAGCAGTATAAAGATCAGGAAAAGAATGCGTGCTGCTCAGAGTAGACAGAAAAGCTATGCGGACTTAAGAAGAAAGAATCTAGAGTTTGAAGTGGGCGACAAGGTATTCCTGAAAGTGGCGCCAATGAAAGGTGTTCTAAGGTTTGGACGCAAGGGTAAATTGAGCCCACGCTTTATAGGACCTTTTGAGATTTTGGAGCAGATTGGGCTCGTCGCATATAGGTTAGCCCTACCACCATCGCTCTCAACGGTACACAACGTGTTTCATGTATCAGTACTTCGTAAGTATATGGCCAATCCCATGCATGTGATAGAGGCTCTGGAAGTGGCAGAAGACTTAAGCTATGAGGAAAAACCGTTGGAAATTTTGGATCGTAAGGTAAGGACTCTACGCACCAGGAACATTGCTTTTGTCAAGGTGTGGTGGAGAAACCAACCCATGGAGAAGGCTACACGGGAACGAGAAGATGATATCAAAGAAAAGTATCCAGAGTTATTTCTGGCCAGGGAGACTTTCAAGGACGAAAGTCCTCTTTAGGAGGGGATAATGTAAGGATTTGAATTTTTGTTTTATTTATTTTAAATTTTATGCTAAGATTTTATTCTCGTTAGAAAAGGTGCGATTTCTAACAAGGAAGTTACTGCCTAATGTAAAAGTCATAAAGACCTTTTATATTCCCATATTCAACTCTCCTCCTTCCTTGGAAACAACTTTTGCTCTCCAAACGTTTAGGGTTTTCGAGGGTGTCTGAGAGTACGGGAAAAATCGAGAGGGTTAGCAAGGAAAAAATGTGTGGGTGGTCCGCTGGTTTTTCGAGGAGTTCTCAGAATCGAGTAGCGTTGCTGGTTCGGAGAAAGAATTGGGTGGAAGTAAGCATCAACGTCGGGACCGCCGCGTTGAAGAAGGTAGGCCGTCAGAACAGAAGGAGGAAGACGCCACATCACCGTCATCGGAAGTGGGTAGACTGTGTCATCATCGGCAGCGACGCACCTTCATTTAGGGTTATCAAGGTCTTCCGGGTAAGGAAGACAAAAGGTTCGGGTCGAGCTACTTAGGTCTCTAGCGTAGTCCACAGACGAACACGGGCCGCGCTCATTCCGGCCCAATACGAGCCCAGCAAATGCGTGCATTGCTTCGCACGCGTATCTCGTGGCAGCTTAGCTCGGCTTAACGTGTATGGCTGTTTGGCTCCGTCAAAACCCGCGACTCGGCTATGTCAAATCCCGCGGCTCGGCTTGGCGGCTTAGTTGGTCGGCTCGGCAGCTCGGCTTGGTGACTCGGTATAACTATAGTATATCGATTCCAAGGTTTTCGATCCGTTCGAAGCCGTTTCTGCCCTTAGTTTTACCATCCGAGGTCAGTATGGCTCCTAAACGTTAAAAACCAGCTTAGGTCGGGGGGTTTATTTTGATAAATAGCATGAGGTTTAGCTAGGGTACCTTATGAAAGGTTCTAAATTCTTACGTGGTTGTCATAGGGCGTATTTAACCGTTGGGACTAGCTCGTTGAGAGTAACTTCAACCAAGACCATCGAGGTAAGTGACCTTACTGTTGGAGTTAGCTTACTACGTGTATGATGATGCGTGTCATGTGGCCCCTGCATGCACCATATTTATGTGATATGATTATGTGATGTATAAAATGTGTTGACTGTAGATTGTGTATGTTATGTGATGTATGAATTATGTTGAGTGTTGACTGTTTATGTTATGTGAAGTTATGAATGAGATGTTAGAATTATATGCCATGAATATGTTGATCGATGCCATAGATACACGTAGAATTATTGAGTCATGTCATGAGATGTTTATGGAACTGGAATGTACTTTCATGCTATGTAATATGCCATGTAATGTAGGTCATGTGAGATGCCATGTAATGTAAGAAACGTATATGCGATGTTACCACTGCTTATGTAATGCCATGTTAGATATGTTAAGGGACCTCATGCATATATGTATGTCACGTGCATCGGGATTCTTCCCCTTTATGATACGAAAGGATGAATTACGATATTTATGTTCGCTATGATATCATGCGAGCCCTTTTCTGTTCTATTGTGTCCGGCGACGTGTAATACGTTATGCCCGACCAAGCTAGGCTTAGGGGGTACGTATATGAGCCCGCGTGGTGGGTCCATGTACACGTACATGGGCCATGTGTGAAGGAGTATCACACATTCAACCCTACCCAGAATAGAAAAGCGCCCAAGGCTATGAAAAATTTATGAAAAGTTAGGTCCCACTCATATGTTGCATGTGTTTGCATTCCTAACCCCAACAGTGGGATGACTTACTGAGTATTTCATAAAATACTCAAGCCACGTGCTACCTACATTTTTCAGGTAAAGGCAAGGTGCCAATGTACGGTTGACGGCGGAGCTGAGGACACAATGGAAGTTGGAGATGGAATATTTCTAGGAGTTTACTTTTATTGGGCTGTTTTAAGTTATAGTATTGAGTTTTGTTTTATTTGGGTTTATTTTGAATTCAGTTATTGAACATTTATTTTCGGAGATAGGTTTTGTTTTGGATTTATAATCCTTTATGGAAGACTCTTCCAAGGTTATTTATGATGAGCTTCTGCTAATGAGTTATATATGCATGGGTGACGTCACTAATTAGGTTAAAGGAAATTAGGGGCGTTACAGTCTTCCTTTGGAAAAAACCTTGAGAAAAACCTCTCACAAACTCTCTCTTCATATATACTTAATCCCTCCCAAGATTAGTCACTTACGGGATTCCACAATCCTGTTCTAAGGCCGGAGAATAGTGGAGAAGACACTAGTGGTGGCTCGAAACTGGTTCGTGAGGAAAAAAAACTTGAGCGACAAAA